AGAAAAGCGTGCAAGCCCGCCGGGCAAGTCGCCGCAGCTGCTGGGCAGCTCCGTGAAGTCCCTCCTGCCGCCGCTTTTCCTCCCCCTCCTCGTGTTTCTTTTCGCTCTTGCTGCTTCCACCGCAGCCGCCAAGCAGCCCTGCGCTCGCTCCGCCGCTGCGCCTGGATTGATCTGGTCTCACTGGCGTCAGAGAGTCGGAGCCACCCAGCCTCCACTTACCCCACTGCCAATACACAACATACATATATACACACACGCACACGCTCGCTCTCGGCCAAGTTAGGGATCCTCTCCAAATGCCCGCCCCCGCTCGCAGAAGGAAAGCGCGGCTACCCGGCCTGGGGAGCGAGCGCCGCGTCCTTCCTCCTTGCCGCCTTTTTGCCCTTTCTCCTCAGCTCGCTCCAGGCGGGAGGCTTCTCTCAGGCACGCCTGGGCCGGGCGGGCGAGCGGCTGGCCTGCGGTGGGGTTTGCAGCTTGGTCACAAACCATTTGCGAACGGTGGCGAGCAACCCGGGCCGGCTTTCCTGTTGTCGTTTCCAGTTCCCTGCAGCTTTGGCATGGGTTCGGGCGGCCGTCCGCAGAGGTGCCGCCTGGGAGGGTGGCCCGGTCGGCGCTAGAGAGCAACAGGTTCTCAGAAGCGCTGGAGTAAATGAAGGTTGGGCGGAGGGCCTCCTCGAGGTCCCGATCCTGAGAATGTTTCTCTAAATGGGATCCGGGGCAGAGGAGGACTAGATAGGCGGGATATAATAATAATAATAATAATAATAATAATAATAATAATAATAATAATAATAATAATAATAATAATAATAATAATAATAATAATAATAATAATAATAATAATAATAATAATAATAATACTCTTACCGCAAAGGCAATCGCTTCTTCTCATGCTTTTTTTTCTTTTCTTCCAGAAGCTTTAACATATGGAACAAAGCTGCCTCTCTCCAGAAAAAAAAGTATTTAAAATATTTATTTTATTTTCTACATATCCCCAAACGGTGTACAGTAGCGCTTTGTCCCATCTGTTCCCTCCCCTATTTTTTTAAGATCAAATTTGAGCCCCCAAAAGAAGGGAATGGTGAACCACTCGTTTGAGCCCCGAAAAGAAGGGAATGGTGAACCACTTATGGGGATTCTCCACCTGAAAAACCCTGGAAAAGGATCGCCATAAGTCTGAATTGACTTGATGGCACCTAGTGATTATTATTAACTGCCTGGAAGATGATGAATTTTTATCGAAAGATAGCTGTTGTTTATCAGATTTGGGGGGATCTTGCGTTTGTATAGCTTGTAAATAGTTCGAGGATACAGTATTGCTGTAATCTTTGTAAGAGTGGATACATTTCAGGGGATGAATCTCAGGCAGATACAAAATACTGTACATGATCATGTGCATGTGTTCATGGTGAAGTTCCACAAACATCCTCCCATTAGCACCCAGAACAGAGAGGACGGAAGCCCATTGAACACACTGAGGCTAACTTCGTGAATTAACGTGTAGAACGCAGTGCATTCATTTTTATAGGCAAAAGTGTCTCCATAGTAGGTGTGACGGACACCCTGTGTCCTTTGTTTATTGTGCCTTAAACACAAGTCAGATAACCAGTACCAAAATTCAGAATTACAGCCCTTCTGATTTGGAATTTTAAGAATTCAGAATTTCCAGATATCTGAAACTCCATTATAGTTAGTATGAATATTATATAGTCGTTAATTTCCCCTTTAAAAAAAACACAAAGAAGCAAAACATTTTTAAAGGATTTCCCTGTGCCCTCTGATGCCTTCTCAGTGATTGTGACAAACAGACTGAATGCATACCAACAGCCAACAGTATGTAGGTATTACAAAATGACTGAAATGGGCATACTGATTGAACCTTGAACAGTGGGAATGCCAGCAGGAAATGCCAGCAGCATTGGGGAAGTAGAGGACAGGTTGCACTGGGGAATGGGCAAATATTCTGGGCAGCACTAGCATGTGGACTGGAGCAGCAGGTGATGTGGGGTGCACAGGAACTGTGCCAACAGCATGAGGCACAGCTCAGTCAAGTGAATGAGCACAATCTTGGAGTAGCAGTAAGAACTGTGCCAACAGCATGAGGCACAGCCCAGTCAAGTGAGTGAGCACAATCTTGGAGTAGCAGTGTGAAGAATGAAGGGGTAGGGGCAGCAGACTGAAGCATGATATACTTATAAAGCCCTAAACTGGTCAGGCCCACGGTGTTTAGATCATCAGGAGAGGCCTTTCTGTCAGTCCCATCACCTTCACTGGTGCGTCTGATGGGGACACAAGAGAGAGTCTTCTCTGTTGCTGCTCCCAAACTTTGGATCTCCCTCCCACAGAGGCCAGACTGGCTCCATCTTTGCTGTCCTTCCACAAGCAGGCAAAGGCCTTTCTCTTCTGACTAAGGCTTTTCCTTAACGACTGGCGGCTGGAGAGGAGTTTTTCAAATTGGATTGTTCTACTCTGTTGTTTTTAACACTGTATGTGTTTTTAGTATTGGTTTATTTACAATTTTTAATATAATACCTATTTTTATACTTAGTGTTTTTAGCTTTTAAATATTGTCCTTTTAATGATGTATGTTGCTTTGGGTCTTTTTAAAGGAGAAAGGTGAGGTAAAATATTTAAAAGAAAAGAAAATTCTCGCACTGTGAGCAGAGTGTGCCATTCTTTCTTACTTAAAGGAGATTTCAGGGAAGCCCAGTAATGATAGGTTATTTACCTTAAGGAAAATAATGTTTTCTACAGATCCAGGGTTCCAGGGGTGAGTGGTGTGGACAGACAATGTCCCCTGCCTCAGAGAACACCCTCTCACTGGGCACACCAATTGGTGGGCAGGACAGCAGTTCTACTGCTACCTACCATGGCCCAAACAGACTCCTCAGCTCAATAAGACAAGGGGCCAGTCTTTTTTTGGCTTGCAGGACTCCTGCATGTATGTCTCTACCTCTGCCTCTGACATATCCTTCCTCTGAAGTGGTGTCTCTGGAAGACAGGGCCCTGCCATGCTTGTCAATACAGTGTCTCAGAAAACTTGTCCTCTTGTTGGAGAGGTGAGGGACTTGGGCTCTAGACTTCAACTGCTGGTACTGCCTTTTTTAGGGTGCTATGAGTATTGCTAGTTTCTTCCTGCTCTATGTGTAATTCCCTCTGTGCTAGCCGGACCTTCTTAACTAGTTGCTTCTTCTGCATGTGATGGAAATTTGGTTGGCATTGCCTCCCCTCTTGAATGCTGCTTAATATCGATTGCCCACTGTTTAATTTGGGGCCTAAGAGGACTGCTAGATTGAAGACAAGAGGACAAGGACCTTCTTCGTCTAGATAAATTGGACTACAATCCCCATCATCCACAGTCATTACAGTCAGCTTATGGGATATAATTTGTCATTTAGGCATAATTCTACTTTTGAAAACAAGAAATTATAAGCATTCTTACTCTGAATTGTTACAATACGTCCAACAGCACTGTATTTAAATTAATTGACAGGGGATAGACTTGGGTAGCCAAGTAGGCCAGGGTGGCTACCTCCTCTTCCTCCTTCTTAATGGAAATAATTTAATCTTTTCACTCCTTTTTTCCACTGTGGCCTATGGACTTTTGTACAACTGCATACATTGAAGCCAATTTTAGGGGCTTCTGTACCCAAATCTGTCTTCTATCCTGAGTGGATTTATTGGAATGATATAAATAAATTATCCCCTCAATTTTTCCAGGAGAATCTTGAGTGATTACTCTTCACAAGAAGCTCAGCTTAGCAGCCTGCTGCACTCTGCTTGACATAATTGTCATAAATCCTACTTGAATTTGGAGTTTTATCTTTTTATCTAACATAAAATTAAACAGGCCTAGGCATAGTTCTGCAGTTTGATAATAAACCTTTCCATGGTTAGTATCACTTTAGAATGCAGGTGTGCTCTAATTTAGCTGAATGTTCCTCCATACTGAAGCACATCCAAATTAAAAAAAAATCCATATACAGTAAAATACTAGATTTCAAGTAGAGAAGTTTTAGACCTGATGTTTAATTTATGTGTTGGCTATTCTTGTATTTTCAGATATGTCACTGCTTAACCAGCAGTCTGAAGTGGTAATGCCCAAACATGTTATGTGCTACCTGAGTGAGAGCAAATGCATTATCAAGAGGATTTAACTGTCTTTAATCAGCCACTCATATTCAGAAAGGCAGTTAGAATGCAAATGGGATGCTCCACTTCCTCTAGTCTTTTTAATTTGGGATACAAATATCAGATGGGTAAAATTTCCCCCTCTCCAGGAGCATAAAGTTTGTACCCATATTTTTTAAACTGGAAACTGTCAATTCTTCCTGACTTCAACAGCAAATCATCAAGTTTACATTATTTGGTCCATAACTTGATGAATTAGGAAAGAGTAGTTTGGCAATGTTGTTGTTTAGTTGTTAAGTCGTGTTTGACTCTTCGTGACCCCATGGACCAGAGCACACCAGGCCCCTCCTGTCTTCCACTGCCTCATGGAGTTGGATCAAATTCATGTTGGTAGCTTCGATGACAGTGTCCAACCATCTCATCCTCTGTCGTCCCCTTCTCCTCCTGCCTTCACACTCCCAACATCACAGTCTTTTCCAGGGAGTCTTCTCTTCTCATGAGACGGCCAAAGTATTGGAGCTTCATCTTCAGGATCTGTCCTTCCAGTGAGCACTCAGGCTTGATTTCTTTCAAGATGGATGGGTTTGTTCTCCTTGCAGTCCAGGGGACTCTCAAGAGTCTCCTCCAGCACCACAATTCAAAAGCATCAATTCTTCAGCAATCAACCTTCTTTATGGCCCACCTCTCACTTCCATACATCACTACTGGAAAAACCATAGCTTTGACTATGTGGACCTTTGTCGGCAAGGTGATGTCTCTGCTTTTTAAGATGCTGTCTAGGTTTGTCATCACTTTCCTCCCAAGAAGCAGGCATCTTAATTTTGTGGCTGCTGTCTCCATCTGCAGTGATCATGGAGCCCAAGAAAGTAATATCTGTCACTGCCTCCATATCTTCCCCTTCTATTTGCCAGGAGGTGATGGGACCAGTGGCCATGATCTTAGTTTTTTGTGTGTTTTTTTGATGTTGAGCTTCAGACCAGTTTTTGCACTCTCCTCTTTCTCCCTCATTATGAGGTTCTTTAATTCTTCCTCACTTTCTGCCATCAGAGTGGTATCATCTGCATATCGG